TTGGTGAGCGATAAGTTCGAAGAGTTTTTAAGGAGTAATGGAATACAACATATAACATCCCCGCCCGGAAACAGCCAAAGTAATGGCTTGGCAGAAAACGCAGTAAAAACATTCAAGAATAAAATGAAGACGTTACTAGCAGAAGAAAAGAACAACAGTGTATCTCTATCAACTTTGGTAGCAACATTTTTAATGGACTATAGAACAACGACACACCAGACGACGGGAGTGACACCAGCCTCACTGATGTTCAACAGGGAAACAAGAAATAAGCTGACGATACTGTCGGAAGACGGGGAGTCAAATGAACAATTACAAATAGTAGACAACATGCAAAAAGCAGCAAGGCAGCAAGAGAATAATTAAGGGGGCAGACACAGGAAATTTGACAGAGGCGACAATGTAATGGTAAGAGATTATCGTAAGGTTAATGTTAAGAGTTGGGTCTAGGCTGTAATACATAGAAAAATTGAATATATTTGTGTTGTTTGGAAAGCGGAGAAACGTGGAAGAGACATGTGAACCAGGTATGGAAACGCCAAAACAACGGAAGAAGAGACTGGGGTGAGAGAGAGTCAGGTGGTGCAGAATCCAGGAATGACGTAACTAATGCAATTAGTAAAATTGCATTAAAGCCGCAAGAACCGACATCGGCACCCACACCGAGCGTGGAGGTTATAAAGATCGCACCAACATTGGTGGATGTAAACAATGGTACAATAGCACGTAGCCATGACTTGAGTAATGCTTGTTGTAAGTAATAATGTTTGTACACCAGGTAATGACACAATTGCAAACACAAATGAGACTGTAATAGCGGATAGTATAGGTGATAAGGACATATCTCGCATAGTAAAGGTTAGGTCAAAAAATGTAAATATTTGTCTTAGGAAACGAGAGGACAAGGTAGACACAGAAGATGCAGAGGGAACTGGTGACAAAAAATTGAAATCTAGACCGCAACGTGACAAAAGACTGCCACGCAGGTTGAGGGATTACGTAATGGAACTGGTTTGATCAACGCCACTACAAAGTTGGCATTTTTAAATCCTATATAGTAATCAGTTAACGACACGGGACCTTACGCGGTTGCGCCATTGCCACCAGGTCTCTAGCATCGCAAGGTGTTGCTCTTAGTGGTTTGAAATTGTATAAAGTGTTGTTAAGATTTAAAGGATGTAAAAAGATAAATATTTATTGCTATTTGATGTTACAGTAACAGGTGCACACCCGGTTAAGCGTTTGAAACTACAGATGTTCGAACAGTTAAGGAAGGAGGTGTGGTGTGTTGGCAACAAAGCAGGAAACGTAGCTGCGTCAGCGGAAGCGGTCACGTGGTACCGGCGATGAAGGACAGCCTTCGTCCTCACGCATGGACATGAACTGAAGAAATACGAAATCCCAAAATTGTTGAACCAAATCATACAAAATGAATCATTTGTATCGTCTATTTCAGAGCTTGTGAACGCTTTATCCGTTCGACGCGCATAACGTTGATTATTTGAAATGTACCCTCAAACAGTCAGAGGACACAAATGAACTCTAAAATATAAATATGGTCAATATTTCTAGTGATCCCCCTCGTGGCAATAACACTAAAATCAGTCATTTGGACTATTTGGAATTAAAAATAGAGCCATCTGTTCTCACGAATTTCAGAGCGTGTGAAAAAAATCGTACAAAGCCTAGTAATCCAAAGGCAGAATTCGTATTCGATGTATGGATGCAATTTAAATTGGACAGTTCACCTCAAGACCTTTTAGAGTCGCGTACGGAAAATATCTACTACGAAGACTTTCTAGAATTTCCATTCCCAGAATACGAAAATCTTTTTAAGCAAACTTTTTTAGGAAATAGCCCTAAAAATAATGAAACCACAGATTCCTTAGCTGATGAATATCGCGACCAAAAAGGAGTTTCCGAAGAACTCTCAACTGTGCTGTATTTGAGTAAGGATAGGGACAACATAGACAATATGTCAAGCCGTACGAACAACAACGACGATCAGAGTGATTTGAGAGATGGGAGATCTCATGAATGAACTTAATAAAAAAGATGAGAAAAATATTAATATATTAAGTAATATCTTAATATATCCCTAAGAAGAAAAAATCGGAAAAAAAAACGGAGCAAAGAAATGTTACCAAGTATTCTAACATCTGATCAATGGATAGCGATTGTCACTGAAAAAGAAAAGGAAAATGAAATATTGAAGGAAAAGAAACGGCGGAAACAAGCAAGACAATAAAAATTAGTAATGACAGTAAATAAAAAGAAACAAACTAACACAGGTGTTTTAAAAAAGAAAAGGAAAGGCAAAAAACCTGTGATTGCAATAGAAAAAGGAAAGTCCTAAGTGTTGAAATCGTATTTTGACAGCATAGGGATTTTGTTTTTGTCATGTTATTACAGGTTAGATATGTAGATAAGATGGCTGTCGAAAGATGTTGAGTACGCGTATATCTGTGTTTAAGTATTGTAAAAATTAAATAAAAACTACATAATACGAGTACTAAGTCATTACGAGTCGGATACAAAATCTACATATAAGTGAAGAGGAAAACTGAACTGAAGACAGAGGAAGATCCTGAAACTGAATCAGCCGAACGAATTTCATCCGAATTCCTCGAAAACTCATATGTAATAGTCTGTTACGAAACGCAATATTTTCCTGGTAAGATTGTCCAGGTGAAGGACCACAACCAATACTTAATTTCTACAATGTGGAAAATTGGAGCATATTGGAAGTGGCCTCCAAAGGTAGACTAATTGGTCTATAATTTTGAGGACATCCAAGAATCTATTGAATCCCCTATTCAGCAAAACTCTCGTGGTGTCACTCTATTTACCTATGAAGAAACACTAAGAAGTAACTACTCGTACCTACCTCTAAAACATTATTTTAATTTATTATATTTTTTTTCTGTTTTTTATACTTTTGTTTTATTTTTGATAGAATATTTGATGTTTTGTTTTACTTTTTGATAATAAAACGCTTTTTTAAAGTCTTTAATATTTTCCAAACGTTCTATTTAGCTATGGTCATAACTAGCAATCCTACTGGCCATCCCAGGACATGACATGGCCGAAACCGGGAAAATCTACTCAGTTCACTTTATATCAAATTTCAATATGCGTGAGCACGTTTGATCTCTGTCTAACATATTTATTAGTATTCTGTATAAGATAAAGCACCAGGAACCACTTAGCTCACGTAGAGGAATATTATATACTAAGACGCGATCATATATAAAAGTAACGTTAAGGTGGTCACAATTAGTGTCCTTATTCTAAGTGTATTTTTAAAACTTCACTTTATGAGCTTTTATAGCGCCAAAGGAGAAATTGTAACTTATCATTATTGTGTAAAGATCTACCCGCCTATCTATTTACGACGTCACTTACATATGTCATTGATGCAATAAAAAGAAAACATTAAGTTTTCTATTCTTTTATTTTGTATATGCTGTCATTGAATTTGAATTAAATAATAATAATAATAATAAGTTTATTTCCATAAAAGCTGAACATAATATTATAACATAATAGCATATAAAATAGAAATAGAAACTTAATATACACTCACTAAAGGCATCGCCTGTGCGCGAGGAAAGAAGATAGGTACATATACAGAGTAAGATATAAAATTACAAAAAATGTTAAAAAATTCAACAATATCAACTACAAACAATCTTTAACATTTCAGTAAGCAGCTTTAAAATCAACATCGCAGGAATGTGTGTGGAATGCGTGACTGTCCTATTTGAGTAATTGATTAAAATTTAATTTCAGGTCCACAGCGTTATGGATCTCCACTCTCGGTATATCAGAAATAAAGTGTTTTAATTTCCTTTTGAAAGTCATTACATTACTCAGCGACCTTAGTTCATCAGGCAAAACCGAGTATAGCTTCGGTCCAAGATAAGTGTGGCTTTTTTGTCCTACACATTTATTAGGTTTAAATGTAATAAAATTTTTATNACTACTAACAAGAGTGATTGGCCAATAAATAACGAATTAATCAAGAAAACAACAAAACATGATGCTTATTTGCAAACAGTGATAGAATGTGTGGTTAATAATAGATGGAATAAGAATATGGATGAACTAATGAAACACTTCTTTCATAGGCGAGAAGAATTATTCTTCGACAGAGGCCTCAGAATAGTCATCCCAGAAGTCTTAAGACAACAACTACTGCAAGAATTGCACGTGGGACACTTTGGCATTGTAAAAATGAAAAACAAAGCAAGATCTTATATTTGGTGGCCAAACATCGATAAAGATATAGAAAATATGGCAAACTCATGCATACCATGTTTAAGCAACAAAGCAGCGCCCCAAAAGCGCATTTAACACCATGGCCTTTAGAAACAAAAGTATGGAACAGGATCCACATCGACTTTTGTGGACCAATAAGAAACAAGATGTTTCTAATTATAATTGACGCATACTCCAAATGGTTGGAGTGCATAGAAATGAAGACGATGACGACAGAAGAAACGATTGAGAAGATGCGGGAAGTGGTGGCCAGATATGGTTTACCGAACGTTTTTGTCAGCGACAACGGCAGACAGTTGGTGAGCGATAAGTTCGAAGAGTTTTTAAGGAGTAATGGAATACAACATATAACATCCCCGCCCGGAAACAGCCAAAGTAATGGCCTGGCAGAAAACGCAGTAAAAACATTCAAGAATAAAATGAAGACGTTACTAGCAGAAGAAAAGAACAACAGTGTATCTCTATCAACTTTGGTAGCAACATTTTTAATGGACTATAGAACAACGACACACCAGACGACGGGAGTGACACCAGCCTCACTGATGTTCAACAGGGAAACAAGAAATAAGCTGACGATACTGTCGGAAGACGGGGAGTCAAATGAACAATTACAAATAGTAGACAACATGCAAAAAGCAGCAAGGCAGCAAGAGAATAATTAAGGGGGCAGACACAGGAAATTTGACAGAGGCGACAATGTAATGGTAAGAGATTATCGTAAGGTTAATGTTAAGAGTTGGGTCTAGGCTGTAATACATAGAAAAATTGAATATATTTGTGTTGTTTGGAAAGCGGAGAAACGTGGAAGAGACATGTGAACCAGGTATGGAAACGCCAAAACAACGGAAGAAGAGACTGGGGTGAGAGAGAGTCAGGTGGTGCAGAATCCAGGAATGACGTAACTAATGCAATTAGTAAAATTGCATTAAAGCCGCAAGAACCGACATCGGCACCCACACCGAGCGTGGAGGTTATAAAGATCGCACCAACATTGGTGGATGTAAACAATGGTACAATAGCACGTAGCCATGACTTGAGTAATGCTTGTTGTAAGTAATAATGTTTGTACACCAGGTAATGACACAATTGCAAACACAAATGAGACTGTAATAGCGGATAGTATAGGTGATAAGGACATATCTCGCATAGTAAAGGTTAGGTCAAAAAATGTAAATATTTGTCTTAGGAAACGAGAGGACAAGGTAGACACAGAAGATGCAGAGGGAACTGGTGACAAAAAATTGAAATCTAGACCGCAACGTGACAAAAGACTGCCACGCAGGTTGAGGGATTACGTAATGGAACTGGTTTGATCAACGCCACTACAAAGTTGGCATTTTTAAATCCTATATAGTAATCAGTTAACGACACGGGACCTTACGCGGTTGCGCCATTGCCACCAGGTCTCTAGCATCGCAAGGTGTTGCTCTTAGTGGTTTGAAATTGTATAAAGTGTTGTTAAGATTTAAAGGATGTAAAAAGACAAATATTTATTGCTATTTGATGTTACAGTAACAGGTGCACACCCGGTTAAGCGTTTGAAACTACAGATGTTCGAACAGTTAAGGAAGGAGGTGTGGTGTGTTGGCAACAAAGCAGGAAACGTAGCTGCGTCAGCGGAAGCGGTCACGTGGTACCGGCGATGAAGGACAGCCTTCGTCCTCACGCATGGACATGAACTGAAGAAATACGAAATCCCAAAATTGTTGAACCAAATCATACAAAATGAATCATTTGTATCGTCTATTTCAGAGCTTGTGAACGCTTTATCCGTTCGACGCGCATAACGTTGATTATTTGAAATGTACCCTCAAACAGTCAGAGGACACAAATGAACTCTAAAATATAAATATGGTCAATATTTCTAGTGATCCCCCTCGTGGCAATAACACTAAAATCAGTCATTTGGACTATTTGGAATTAAAAATAGAGCCATCTGTTCTCACGAATTTCAGAGCGTGTGAAAAAAATCGTACAAAGCCTAGTAATCCAAAGGCAGAATTCGTATTCGATGTATGGATGCAATTTAAATTGGACAGTTCACCTCAAGACCTTTTAGAGTCGCGTACGGAAAATATCTACTACGAAGACTTTCTAGAATTTCCATTCCCAGAATACGAAAATCTTTTTAAGCAAACTTTTTTAGGAAATAGCCCTAAAAATAATGAAACCACAGATTCCTTAGCTGATGAATATCGCGACCAAAAAGGAGTTTCCGAAGAACTCTCAACTGTGCTGTATTTGAGTAAGGATAGGGACAACATAGACAATATGTCAAGCCGTACGAACAACAACGACGATCAGAGTGATTTGAGAGATGGGAGATCTCATGAATGAACTTAATAAAAAAGATGAGAAAAATATTAATATATTAAGTAATATCTTAATATATCCCTAAGAAGAAAAAATCGGAAAAAAAAACGGAGCAAAGAAATGTTACCAAGTATTCTAACATCTGATCAATGGATAGCGATTGTCACTGAAAAAGAAAAGGAAAATGAAATATTGAAGGAAAAGAAACGGCGGAAACAAGCAAGACAATAAAAATTAGTAATGACAGTAAATAAAAAGAAACAAACTAACACAGGTGTTTTAAAAAAGAAAAGGAAAGGCAAAAAACCTGTGATTGCAATAGAAAAAGGAAAGTCCTAAGTGTTGAAATCGTATTTTGACAGCATAGGGATTTTGTTTTTGTCATGTTATTACAGGTTAGATATGTAGATAAGATGGCTGTCGAAAGATGTTGAGTACGCGTATATCTGTGTTTAAGTATTGTAAAAATTAAATAAAAACTACATAATACGAGTACTAAGTCATTACGAGTCGGATACAAAATCTACATATAAGTGAAGAGGAAAACTGAACTGAAGACAGAGGAAGATCCTGAAACTGAATCAGCCGAACGAATTTCATCCGAATTCCTCGAAAACTCATATGTAATAGTCTGTTACGAAACGCAATATTTTCCTGGTAAGATTGTCCAGGTGAAGGACCACAACCAATACTTAATTTCTACAATGTGGAAAATTGGAGCATATTGGAAGTGGCCTCCAAAGGTAGACTAATTGGTCTATAATTTTGAGGACATCCAAGAATCTATTGAATCCCCTATTCAGCAAAACTCTCGTGGTGTCACTCTATTTACCTATGAAGAAACACTAAGAAGTAACTACTCGTACCTACCTCTAAAACATTATTTTAATTTATTATATTTTTTTTCTGTTTTTTATACTTTTGTTTTATTTTTGATAGAATATTTGATGTTTTGTTTTACTTTTTGATAATAAAACGCTTTTTTAAAGTCTTTAATATTTTCCAAACGTTCTATTTAGCTATGGTCATAACTAGCAATCCTACTGGCCATCCCAGGACATGACATGGCCGAAACCGGGAAAATCTACTCAGTTCACTTTATATCAAATTTCAATATGCGTGAGCACGTTTGATCTCTGTCTAACATATTTATTAGTATTCTGTATAAGATAAAGCACCAGGAACCACTTAGCTCACGTAGAGGAATATTATATACTAAGACGCGATCATATATAAAAGTAACGTTAAGGTGGTCACAATTAGTGTCCTTATTCTAAGTGTATTTTTAAAACTTCACTTTATGAGCTTTTATAGCGCCAAAGGAGAAATTGTAACTTATCATTATTGTGTAAAGATCTACCCGCCTATCTATTTACGACGTCACTTACATATGTCATTGATGCAATAAAAAGAAAACATTAAGTTTTCTATTCTTTTATTTTGTATATGCTGTCATTGAATTTGAATTAAATAATAATAATAATAATAAGTTTATTTCCATAAAAGCTGAACATAATATTATAACATAATAGCATATAAAATAGAAATAGAAACTTAATATACACTCACTAAAGGCATCGCCTGTGCGCGAGGAAAGAAGATAGGTACATATACAGAGTAAGATATAAAATTACAAAAAATGTTAAAAAATTCAACAATATCAACTACAAACAATCTTTAACATTTCAGTAAGCAGCTTTAAAATCAACATCGCAGGAATGTGTGTGGAATGCGTGACTGTCCTATTTGAGTATTTGATTAAAATTTAATTTCAGGTCCACAGCGTTATGGATCTCCACTCTCGGTATATCAGAAATAAAGTGTTTTAATTTCCTTTTGAAAGTCATTACATTACTCAGCGACCTTAGTTCATCAGGCAAAACCGAGTATAGCTTCGGTCCAAGATAAGTGTGGCTTTTTTGTCCTACACATTTATTAGGTTTAAATGTAATAAAATTTTTATTTTTGTTTCTCGTTTCATAAATGTGTGTCCCTACTCTTAAATCATGTCTGTTCTTATGTTGATATATGCACAATAAATAGAAGAGAAGCTGTCTTGGATCCATCAGAGAAGTCTCGGCATATAGATCATCCGAAGAGAAGGTAGGTTTCTTTCTATATATTATTTTTATAATTCTTTTTTGGACCACTTCCAAATTTTTTAAAAGACAATGATTTGCAGTTCCCCATGCCAGAATTCCATATATTAGATGACTCTGAACTAGCGAGGTGTATACCACCTTCAACATGTCACCATCAAGTATGTCCCTTAAGACCTTAAACCGGTGGAATAAGGATCGAATTTTTTTGATGACGTATTTGATATGCTTATCCCATTTCAGATTACTATCCAGCATGACACCAAGATACTTGAATTCAGGGACGGACTGAATAGTGATGTCTCTAATTGTCAGAGTCTTAAAGGTAGGAGTAGATCGAACGTCCACATATATAGGCAAAAAACGTGTTTTGTCGTAATTTACTGAAAGCAACCTTGAATTGAACCATTCAAATACCATAGCTAAATCTTTTTCAGCATTCTGTTTAACAGTTTGCCAGTCTTTATCATTGTAGAAGATGCAAGTATCATCAGCATATGCTATGATTTCTCCTGATGTTCTGAGAGAAAATAAGTTGTTTAAATAGATGTTGAACAAGACTGGGCCAAGAACTGAACCTTGTGGTACTCCATAGGTCATCTTAATTATCTCACTATACTCATTATTTATTCTAACAAGCTGATGTCGATTTGTTAGGTAGCTTTTAAAAAGTTCAAGCGCGAGACCCCTTATTCCTATTTCTTCCATAGTGTTCAACAGCAGACTATGGCTCACTGTGTCAAACGCCTTAGATAGATCTATGAAGACACCGAGTGATCTCATATTATTATCTAACGCTGTGTATGCTTTGGATGTTAAGTGGAGTATGGCGTCTTGCGTTGAGACTCCTGTTTTAAAGCCATACTGCCTATAAGATAGAATTGAATGTTTATCGAGATAAGTGTATAGTCTTTGTTTCAATAGTTTTTCTAATATTTTGGAGATTGTAGTAATTAATGAGATTGGACGATAATTAGTTACCTCAGCTGGGTCTCCAGATTTAAATATAGGTATGACTACAGATGTTTTTAATGCAGAGGGGAAGTATCCCTCATTAAAGCAACTGTTGAAAAGGAACGTTAGAGGTTCTGTTATATATGAGCACACGGATTTTAACATTTCGCTTGTAATCCCATCCTCGCCCGGTGATTTGTTATTTCTTAAGTCATTTATTATATTACTTATTTCACTGGGCGTGGTTGGAGTGAGAAACATGGATTCCGAATGTTTATTTTTCTCGAATGGAGCTT